TGACTGTTAGCGGGACACTACTGGGCGGAATTGGCTGTTTCACCCACAAAACACACAGTCAATACACTTTACAATATATAAGGCGCTGAATCAAATGCAATATTATTATATTATGAAATATATTATGAAATATTATTATTTCAGATTCCTAAAGGAGTGGTGGAAACAAGCAGGAAACCTCGCGATATTATCTGTGGTACAAGGTGAGGCATGTGCTGGTGGCACATAGTCTGATGAATCATTAAGCGATCTCTGTAATGACACGTCGACACTGATATAATGATAGGAAGCGAAACCCCTGTGTGCGCCAGCGTTAATCACATTCTCTGATAATCTTCCAGGCTGAGGCACAGGCAATACAACGTGTTGGCTTGTGGGTGGTGTGAGATATTAAAATAAATGGTTCCACACTAATAATCTCCCCAAAAATTGAATTAGTTTTACCTTCTGTCCTAATTACCTTTTACACAAAATGCAGATTATGCCAGTTGATTTATAGAAAGCTGTATTTGAGGCAATGTGAAATATTAGCAGACGGAAAGCTGGCTCCGATATTAAATCAATTGATCTCCGGTAATATTCTGCAATAATTTAATTAGTTTCACTGCTGCTTCTAATTAATTTCAGTGCAAATAAATTGTCTTAAAGGACACTTATCACAGGTAATAAAACAAATTGATGTTTGCTGTGGTTGGGCAGTTTCTGTGGCGAGGCGGGAGAGAGAGCAAGTGAGAGAGAGCGAGGAGATACTTGTTTGGTAAGTGTGTGGGAATTATGAGGCCAGTATTTTGTTGGGCAGAGGGAGCCCCAGCCACTCAGTGCTGTAACGTCAGAGCCCGAATATGTGTGTGTTTGTGTGTGTGTATGCGCGCATGTGACTGTGTGTGGTGGTGTGTTTATATGCATGGCAGGTGCACCTGTGCATGTGTATGTGTGCGTGTCTCTGGTATGTGTGCATGCATGTGTCTGCATGTTTGTGGGTGCTTATATGAGTGACATATGTGCCTGTGGCATGTGTATTCGCACATATGTGTGTCTGAACATGTGTACCTTTGTGCCTGTATGTTTTTGTATCCGGGATACTAGGCTTTATAGATAAGGGCATAGAATTCAAAAGTCAGGAGGTTATGTTGAATATTTATAAAATTCTGGAGACTGCGTTCAGTTCTGGGAACCGCACTTTAGGAAAGATGTCAAGGCATTGGAGAGGGTGCAAAGGAGGTTTACCAGGTTGGTACCAGGAATGAGGGACCTTAGTTATGAGGAGAGGTTAGCGAAACTAGGATTATTCTCCCTGGAGCAGAGAAGATTAAGAGGGGATTTAATAGAGGTTTTCAGATCATGAGAGGGTTTGATAGGTTGAACTGGGAAAAACCGTTTCCACTGGCGTGTGGTTCAGTAGCCCGAGGACACTGATTTAAGATCGTTGTTAAAAGAAACAGAGGGAAGATTAGGAAAAATGTTTTCATCCAGCAGGTTGTTGGGATCTGGGATGCATTACCTGAAAGGGTAGTGGAAGCCGATTCAATAATAGCTTTTAAGAGATAAGTAGATGGGTATTTGGGGAGGACAGGATTGCAGGGCTATGGGGAGAAAGTGGGATTGTGTTGGAAGCTCTTTTCGGACCTGGCGCAGACACGATGGACCGAATGGCCTCTTTCTGTGCTGTATGATTCTATGTGTGCGTGTGGGTGTCTATGTATGTGTGTGTCTACATGTGGGTGTAAATAAAACATAATCTCTGGTAGTTTTGGTGATTGTAGGCAATGCTCTGCAGTTACCTTTACTGAGCAGTGGGACAAGTTTCTCCCCATGAACCTGGTGCTGATTTTGAACCTCAATCAGGTCTGCTCCCTCCCCAGATACTGAACCTCAGCGCTCTCTTAGACGTGATGCTCGCCTCCCTATGGTACTTGCACCCCAGCTCGTGCGCAAACCCTTCACTGTCCAATGCCTTAATATTAGTAACAATAATAATCTTTGCATTTGATATAGCGGCTTACTGTGTGGTTCAGAAGTCTGAAAGTGCTTCACAGAATATATTGTAAAGTGAATTGACTGTGTATTTGGTGGGTGAAATGTGGCAGCCAATTGCATACAGCCGTGGATTGAGTGATCACATTTTTTTTGGAGGGATTATTACCCCCAGAAAGCAATCCGCCAATCAACTTGCAACCAGGTTACTGCTTGGTCAACAGAGGCATGTAGAGTAAGGAAATTTGCCTAAGTTTTTGCTCCGCCCTGGGAATCGAACCGGGTCCTCTCACTTGCGAGGCAAGTGCTCTAACCACTGCTCTACAGGCTTCCACATTGAAAGGAGTTGTATAAATACAATGTGTTGTTGTTGTTGACAGGGAGAGCAGAGGAGAGAAAGCCACAAGGTATTGGACTCATGACTTACAATGAGAGAGAATGGACTGAGTGGCCCCGCTCTCTTCTCCCATGCCAGCCCTTGTTCTGCTCTTATGACTGAGGACACAGTAGTGTGGCTTGTGTTTCGTTGAAAGAACCCAAATGTTAAGATGAGAGAGACTTTGTGTCTTATCAGAGGCCCAATCTGGGGACTTCTATTTCCAAACCCATCATGCTGTTTGCTGGACGGACTCTGTTTGGAGGGAAAACAAATGAGCAACTAATTCCTGGGTGAAAAGGTCACTTTGCTAGGATTGGTGAAGCTTCCACTTTTACCATCATAACTTCACCAGCCGAGCCTGCCGGCATCATTCCTCACGGCCACTTCCCGCCCGAGGGCCACTCTGGCCCGCAGGCCATGTGTTGGCCACTACTGGCCTCAATGATTGGAACCTAAGAGTAGTAGAGGAGTGAAGAGATCCACAAATCTCAGAATGTGATTCTTTGTTCACACAACATCCTCCATTTATAACAGTAATCCTTGTATTTGATAGAGCGCCTTATCACATCGTTGAGACGTCTCAAAGCGCTTCAAAGAATATATTGTGAAGTAGATTGACTGTGAATTTTGTGGGAAAAATGCAGAGGCCAATTGCGCACAATAGTGTCCCACAAACAGTCGTGGATTGAGTGACCAAATTTTTTTTATGTATAGAGCAGCTTCACTTGGAATCTTGTCTTGGAGCACTTGACGTTGGCAGGACGGTGGCCGAGCCGGGGGAGTGGGTGAAGTAGGCACGGTCAAAGAGGTGGCTGTTAGTGGCCCGTGCTGGCTGAAAGGTTTATTTATAGCTGGTTGTAAAGTAGAGTAGTATCTCTGGGAGTTTGTGAACCATAGAGCAGTGAGCCAGCAGAGGAACAAAGCCGTTGTGTGTGCCCAGGACCACACAGCCGTTGGCATTTCCTCACTAATACGCTGAACTAATGATACTATGCTCAGGGAGGGGGAGCGATGTGATCTATCAGACACTCCTCTATGTTATCACAGGGCAAGAGCAATGAGCCCAAACTGCTCTACCCCAGGCTACTCCTTCATCAGGAGACCTTCCTCAGACTGAACATTCAAACATCTTCCCCTCCCACCCTTGCGGCTCCCACCCCTCAGCTCAGGTGCCTAGCCAGCAGGGTCAGGGATTTTGGGACATCCTTCCAATGTGATGGGCGCTGTGTAAATGTCAATTGTATTGTACTGTCCCAGTCCAAAGCCTACACCAGGTGCCCTCAAACTCCATCCCTATGGAGTCGTGACCGTTACTTACTGAAATGTGGGAAAGAGCTTGTGATTCTGTGTTTGGTTGTAAGCCAGTGAGGCCTTAGTTTGTAGGAGGGACGTCTCAAAATGGGGCAGTGAGAGGAACTGATGAGGCTCAGAGAGACATAACACATCCACAACACAAGATAGATCCCGCCATTGGGAGAGACTGTGTAAAGAAGAGAGTCACAACTCAGACTGATGAAGGCTCACAGACAGCAGGTTCTGTCTGAGTAACCAGAACAACAATGAGCCTATTCAAAGCTAATTACAAAAGGAGCTTCATTAGAGCGGGCAGTCACTGCATTGATTTCTTTTTAAGGAACTGGAATGGAATTAAACGGCGTTGACTGTCGCCCGGAGCCCCAGCCACCACTCGGCCTCACTCTGCTCATACCTGCTACTTAATCAGGTTAGTCAATAACAGGGAACTTTACACTAACATCAGCATTCAGGCTGATACGCCATCCAAAGTAAGGTCACTTGATGAGATTATTTATCTCAGTGATGTGGGGCTCACCCGATCAATACAACCACAGCACATGAGGAAGCAATTCAAGCCATCATGTGCTAGGGCAAACCTCCACTGGAGCTCTCCACTCTAATCCCATCCCCTGCTCTCTCCCCATCGTGTCTGTGTCGGTGCTCGCTCCCCTCACTGAAGCTCACCAGCAGGGGAGTGGAATGTGGTTAATGTGTGTATAGAGAGTGTAGGCAGGGGTTTGGGGGAATGTGGCCGGTGGGAATGGGGTCGGGGGGGGAGTTGGTTGAATGTTGGAGTTTGGGATGGTTGTGGGGGATGTGGGTGGGATGATATTTGGTTGGGTTGGGTTAAAGGGTGGGTTGTTGTGATGGGATATGGTTGGATGTAGGGGGAGTGGGTTGGGTGTAGGGTATGGGTGGTTGAGTGTAGTGTAGTGTTGGGTGTTGGGGGAGGTGCAGGAACATCAGCCTCATAATGACCGAGCTCCTGACCTGCTGCCCCGACAGCGCTCACTGCACACACGGTGACGAATCAGTCGTGAGTCCTGTCCTTTTCAACAAACACTGGCAAAACAGAGCGATTGGCTTGTGAGTGAAGCCATCCACACGGACCTTGTAATCTTCACAGCCAGAGGGGATGTTGGGTCAGTTTCCCTGTCCCTGTCACATTAGCTCCTATCATATGACTGATTCCGTTCCCTTCCCCTAAGTGAAAGGCATCTTTCACTGGACGGAGGAGATATCAATCTCTGCCCTTCCCCTCCTCCGCCCCTGGAGGAGCTGACTGACGTGTTGCTGTCAGTCTTGATTGCCCTACGGAGACACTGTGTTGGGGACTCAGCTCCGGGCGACGATGGCAGAGGAGGTCTATCTCTTCCACCCCCGCAATGGCAAGATCACCGGGGTAAGTCTCTCACCAACACCCACCCACCACCCCCTGCCACACACGCACACACCATTCCCCCACTTCAACCGGGAGGGCGTGAATGGTGTGTGTTCTCGTTGGTTCAAACTTTGTTTTAAATGTTTTAAAAAAAAGCTGGAAAAGGAAATCACGGGTGTATAATGCGTAATCAAATGAAGGGATCAGAGAGCGTAGAGTTTAACTCTTTGTTGGGGTTTCGCCTCGAGGTAGCTTCCATGTTTACTGTCCAGATTTAAACCTTGCTTTAAACAGCAACAACAACTTGCAGTTTTACAGCGCCTTTTATGTCGGGAGGACATCAAACACTACGCAAAGGCAGCCTGGCTCTGCCAGCCAGACAGCCTCGGGCTCTGGGAGTTGTGGGCTGAAGCCCCATCTCAGGGCCTTTGAGTTCACAGTCCTGGCTGACATTCCACCACAGTGCTGGGCAGGGACGGGGATGGGGTGCCTTGCAGGAGATGCTGTTCTTCAGAAGAGACATTAAACCGAGGTCCCACCTGACAGGATTTCTTGTGCAGCAATTTTTAATGCTTTTGACATGAGAACAGGCTATAAAAACACATGAACAAAACACAAGATACTGCAGATGCTGGAATCTGAAACAAGACAGAGAGAGCTGAAAAAACTCAGCAGGTCAGGCAGCATCTATGGAGAAAGGAAAGTGAGTCAACGTTTCGAGTCCATGACCCTTTGTCAGAACTTTTTGTATAAAAACACATGTTCTTTCTCTCACAGTTGTGTGATAAATGCACACAGGGCAGAAGGAGCTTGGAGTGGAGATAGTAGCTTAGTATCCTGAATCTCCTCCTTCAGGTTCATTGGTTGAGTTAGGCCTGGCTGTGTTGCCGAGTGCGAGGAGATCATGGACTTCTTTTCGTCTAAAATTCACAACATCCGCCAGGCAGCCTCATCCACCTGCCTCTTGTCACCCACCACCATGCCCTCTCTGTCCCTCTCACCCTCCCCATCATCTGCTCCTACCACCACCCCCATCCTACATTCCTTCCTCCCCCCATCTCTCCCTCCTCCCTCTCACCCTCCATCACCTCCATGAAACCCACCACCTGCTGCCTCGACCACCTCCCTACCAACTTGCTGGTCACCCAGCTCCCCCTCCTCTGCCCACTACTGGGTGACGTCATCAACCAGTCCCTCTCCTCCGGATCAGTCTCTGCCCCCCTCAAAACTGCTGTCATCACCCCCTTCTCAAAAAACCCTCCCTCAAACCCCAGCCATTACCGCCCCATTTCTAACCTCTTCCTCTCAAAAGTCCTAGAACGCATTGTTGCCAATGAACTCTGCGCACTCCCTCCTCCCACTCCCTCTTCGAACCCCTCCAGTCCGGTTTCTGCCCACAGTACAGAGACTGCACTTGTGAAAGTCACAGACGACATCCTCTCTATCTGTGACCAGGGCTCCCTCTGCCTCCTTGTCCTCCTGGACCTCTCTGCGGCGTTTGACACAGTCGATCACGCCATCCTCCTCCACCTCCACGGTTCTCACCTCTTCCACCTACCCGACCTCCCCCTAAAACTCTCCGAATCCATACACAACCTAAGGGTCAGGTTCAACCCCCAATTATCCTTCCTCTCCCACATCCAGTCCCTCACCAGCACTGCTTTCTTCCACCTCCGACGCATCGCCCGTCTCCGCCAACACCTCTCTCCGAAAGCCGCTGAAACCCTGGTCCATGCCTTTGTCACCTCTCGGCTGGACTATTCTAATACCCTCCTCGCTGGTCTCCCCTCCACTGCCATCCATAAAATCCAGATTATTCAAAACTCTGCCGCCCGCATTCTCATCCGCACCAAACTCCGCTCCCCGATCCCCCCAGTCCTGGCCAGACTGCACCGGCTGCCTATCCCAGACAGGATCGATTTCAAGATCCTCACCCTTGTCTTCAAATCCCTCCGCTCCTCTGCACCCCCCGACCTCTCTGACCTCTCTCCTCAAAACAGTGCCCATTGCCTTCGTTCCTCTGGGTCTGGCCTCCTGCTCGTTCCCCGAGTCCTCCGCTCCACCCTCGGCGGCTGTGCCTTCAGCCACTATGCCCCGAGGCTCTGGAACTCCCTTCCTCACTCCCTTCGCCTCTCCCCCTCTCTTCCTATTTTCAGGTCCCTGCTGAAGACCTTTCTTTTCGACCGCGCCTTTGGTCACCTTCCTCCCCCTGGCTCGGCCCCGGGATCCATGTTGTGAAGCACTTGGAGACGCTGTCCAGTGTGGAGGGCGCTATATAAATCCAAGTTGTTGTTAAGTTGGACACGGCTGGTTGTGTTAGGGTGGACAGGGCCTGGCTGGGTTGGGTTAGACTGGGTTCCGTTGGGCCTGGATGGGGTGAGTATGGCTGGATTGGGCTGGGTTGGGCCTGGCTGGGTTGGGCAGGGTTGGGGTGGGTTGGGCCTGGCTAGGTTGGGCAGGGTTGGGTTGGGATGGGTGGGCCTGGCTGGGTTGGGCAGGGTTGGGTTGGGATGAGGTGGGCCTGGCTGGGTTGGGCAGGGTTGGGTTGGGATGGGGTGGGCCTGGCTGGGTTGGGCAGGGTTGGGTTGGGATGGGGTGGGCCTGGTTGGTTTGGGCAGGGTTGGGTTGGATCTGGTTGGGGTGGTTTGCGCCTGACTGGGCTGGGCTGGGCCTGGCTGGGGTGCGCCTGGATGGGGTGGGCAGGGTTGGGGTGGGTTGGGCCTGGCTAGGTTGGGCAGGGTTGGGTTGGGATGGGGTGGGCCTGGCTGGGTTGGGCAGGGTTGGGTTGGGATGAGGTGGGCCTGGCTGGGTTGGGCAGGGTTGGGTTGGGATGAGGTGGGCCTGGCTGGGTTGGGCAGGGTTGGGATGGGGTGGGCCTGGCTGGGTTGGGCAGGGTTGGGTTGGGATGGGGTGGGCCTGGTTGGGTTGGGCAGGGTTGGGTTGGATCTGGTTGGGGTGGTTTGCGCCTGACTGGGCTGGGGTGGGCCTGGCTGGGGTGGGCCTGGCTGGGGTGGGCCTGGCTGGGGTGGGCCTGGAGCCGAGCCTTGCCTGGTATCTCATTGCCTCTCTGCCCTCAGCACCTCACCTGGTCTCTCCTGATGGTATCAGTCCTCACCTCCTTCGGCTCATCCATGCTGTATGGCTACAACCTGGCTGTGGTCAATTCCCCGGCAGAGGTCAGTGTAGGGGCGAGCAGACAGGGGGCACTGGGTCTCTCTGTATGTTTGTCTGACACCTCGTCTGTCTGTCTCTCTGCCTGTGCCTCTCTGTATGCTTGTTTCTATCTGACACCCTGTCTGTCTGCCTGTCTGTTGTCTCTCTTTGGCTGTGTCTCTGTCTGCTTCCAGCTGACACCCTTTCTGTCTCCAGCTGATACCTTGTCTGTCTGTCTGTCTGTGTCTCTGGCTGATACTTTGTCTGTCTCTCTCTGTCTCTCTCTGTCTGTCTATCTCTGTCTCCAGCTTATACCTTGTCTGTCTGTCTGTCTGTCTCGCTCTATGTCTGTCTGTCTGTCTGTGTCTGTCACCGGCTGATACCTTATCTGTCTGTCTCCCTATCTTTCTGTCTGTCTCTATCTGTCTGTCACTCTACTTCTCTGTCTGTCTCTCTACCCTTTGGCTGACACCCTGTCTGGCTGTTTCTCTGTCTGGCTGACACCCTGTCTGGCTGGCTCTCTGATTGTCTCAGTCTGACTCTGTCTGTCTCTGGCTGATGCTGTGTCTGTCTCTGGGTGACCCCCTGATGGGCTGGTCTGATCTGGTTTCCAGTACATCAAAGATTTCTACAACGACACCTTCCTGAGCCGCTATAACCAGACACTGAGCGAGAGCCACCTGGTGGTGCTGTACTCTGCCACCGTCTCTGTCTTTGCGGTGGGAGGGCTCCTGGGCTCGCTGCTGGTCGGGCTGCTCGTGACCAGGTTTGGACAGTAAGTCTCTCCCATCCTCTCACACACTCACACTCTCACTGCCTACTGAGCAACACAATGTCCACGATTGGAGTCCTGTAGCTCAGTGGTTAGAGCACTCGCCTGACAAGCGAGAGACCTGGGCTCGATTCCCGGCAAGGTGAAACCTTGAGCAAGTTACCTTACTCCACATGCCTGATGATAATCCCTCAAGAAAAAAACAATAATAATTTGGTCACTCAATTTACGGCTGTTTGTGGGACATTGCTGTGCGTAATTGGCTGCAGCGTTTCACCCACAAAATATACAATCAATTCACTTTAGAGTATATTCTGTGAAGCGCTTTGAGACGTCTCGAAGACGTGATCAAGCGCTATGTCAAATGCAAGGATTATTATTATTATTGGCTCAGTTGATACGGTGCCAGCTGCTCGCACTTTGGCCTCGGGGGCAGGAGGTGTGGGTTTGAGCCCCACATCGGGGATTGGCTGACAATCTTAGTATTACAGTAACAATCAAAGGAACATAAGATGTGCTGAACAAAATAAGACAAAAGTCCATCTAGTTTGCCTTCTACCACCCTGATAGTCGCTTGTTGCAATATTGGAGATGTTGATAGCAATTAATTCTGTTGAATGGCTGTTAGCTCAGCACCAGCGTGGGTGGAGGTGAAGGACATGAGGAGCGAGCGGTGGAGCGGAGTGTAGAGCGCGGAGCAGACGGTGTGGGCTGGGGAGGCTCAGGTGGGGTGGGAGGGGGGGGCGAGGTTGAGTGGGGGGTTGCTGCGGTCAGTGGGGCTGAGGGCTGACTAACACCCCGCTGTGCTGTGCCAGCAGGAAGGGCACTTTGGTTGGCAGCACCTTCCTGGTCTTTGTGGCCGGCCTGCTGATGGGCTTCAGCCGCGTCCTCAGCTCCCCCGAGATGGTCGTTTCCGGTCGCTTCATGACAGGCGTTCACTCAGGTACACATGGAGCAAGCCTGCGTACATGCCGAGATCTCGCGTATACACTGAGCAAGCCCACATACACACTGAGCGAACCCACGTATGTGCTGAGAGCCCGCGTACACACTAAGCGACCCGTGTACACACTGCGTGAGCCCACATACACACTGCGCGATCCCACGTACACACTGAGCGGGCCCACGTACACACTGAGCGGGCCCACGTACACACTGAGCGAGCTCTTGTACACACTGAGCTGGCCCACGTACACACTGAGCGAGCCCGCATACACACGCAGTGAGAGCTCGCGTACATGTAGACATCCTATGATAGCTGGAGTCCTGTAGCTCAGTGATAGAGCAAGCGAGAGGACCTGGGTTCGATTCCCGACCAGGGAGAAATGTTGGGCAAGTTCACTCATTCCACACGCCTGTTTACTCACCAGTCAGTAGGAATCCGGTTGTTAGTCGATCGGTGGATCACTTTCCGGGAGTAATAATCCCTTCAAAAACATGTGGGCACTAATTTCACGATTGTTTTTGGGACACCGCTGTGCGCAATTGCCTGCCACTTTTCGGCCACAAATTATAATCACTACACTTTACAGTATATTCTGCGAAGCGCTTTGAGACGTCTTGAAGACGTGATAAGGTGTTATATCAAATGCAAGGATTATTATTCTTATTCTTATAGCTGATCTCTGTGTTCTGCCTTATCCCCCGGTCTGTGTGACAGGCATCTCTCTCAGCGTGGTGCCCATGTATCTCGGGGAAATTGCCCCAAAGAACCTGCGTGGGTTCCTGGGGCTGATCCCCAGTATTTTCATCTGTCTGGGAGTGTTTGCAGCCCAGGTGCTGGGGCTCAGGCAGCTAATGGGGAAGGTAAGTGTGACACAGAACACCTCACTCTGTGTGGGGCTGGCTCTCTCTCTCTCTCATTCTCCCCTCCAGTCTCACTCCCTCCACTTCCCTTCTCTGTATCACTCTCTTCCTCATCTTTGCTGTCCTAACTCTCTCTGACTCTCTCCTTCTCACTCTTTCTCCTTCTTCTGTTCTCTTTTTCTCATCTGTCCCAGTCCTTCTTCTGTCTCTCATACACTTTCTCTTCTCCCTCTCACAGTGTCCATAGGGGAGGGGGTGGGGCGGGGGGAGTGAGGTCTGTCCCCTGGGAGCTGAACTGATTCCAAGGTGACATAGTTGGCAATGGAATATCAGAATCGAGCCAGCCCTCTGTGGTGTCTCTGGTTCAGTTTCTGAGTCAGCAGATCCGTTGTACTTCAGGGCACTGCTGTCTCTCTCTCTCGCTCTCACACTCTCTTTCTCACTATTACATACACACTCGCTCTATCTCTCACACTCTCTTTCTCTCGCTCTCTGTGTCCCTCACACACACTCTCTCTCCCATGCTGGCTGTAGGAGGAGGATTGGCCTCTCTTCCTGTCGCTGGTGATGATCCCAGCGCTGGTGGAGCTCCTCTTCCTGCCCTGGTTCCCGGAGAGTCCCCGGTACCTGCTCATCCAGAAAGAGGACGTGACGTCAGCGGTGAAAGGTACCGGGGGCGAGGAGCAGTCCCTGTGTCTGTCTTCTCACTGATCTCAGCCTCGCTTTGTGTGTTACTGATCTCAGCCAATCTGTGCTGAGTGCTATTTACTGTTAGCAGCTGGGCTGGGGGCTGTGCCGGGCGGGGGGCTGTGCCGGGCTGGGGGCTGTGCCGGGCGGGGGGCTGTGCCGGGCGGGGGGCTGTGCCGGGCGGGGGGCTGTGCCGGGCGGGGGGCTGTGCCGGGCGGGGGCGTGCGGGCGGGGGCTGTGCCGGGCGGGGGCTGTGCCGGGCGGGGGGCTGTGCCGGGCGGGGGACTGTGCCGGGCGGGGGGCTGTGCCGGGCGGGGGACTGTGCTGGTATTTACACTTCTCTCCCCCGGTTTCAGCGTTGGGCCGGTACAGGAATGCCAACTGTTGTAATCTGCAGGCGGAGGTGGAGGAGATGCAGCAGGAACAGCAGTCACTGGCCTCACTGGACAGTGTGTCCGTCTGCCGTCTCTTTGCTGACCGCTCCGTCCGCTGGCAGCTGATCTCTGTCATCGTGGTCAGCACCGGCATGCAGCTGTCAGGCATCGACGCTGTGAGTCTGACCAACCAGCAAGGACAGACAGACAGAGAGACAGACACAATGGACAGACACAGACAGACAGACACACACACACACATGCACAAACACGCACAAATACACAGACACACACATAGACATACAGACGTACACACACACAGACAGACGCACACACACACACACAGACAGAAACATACAGACGTACACAGACATGCAAACGCAGACACACACAGACACGCAGACAGTCACACTGCTCTGTGTTACAGATCTGGTATTACACCAACACCATATTTGAGAACGCTGGCATCGCGCGCCCGTCCATACAGTACACGACCGTGGGCACCGGGGCCATCGAGGTGCTGGCTGGGCTGATTGGGGTAGGGCCCCCGCGGACTCGCTCTCACACATACCTACACCCTCTCTCAGCACCTCCTCACACGCGCACTCTGCCTCCTCACTGCCATCTCGCTCGCTCGCTCACTCGCTCACTCCCTCACACATGCTCCCTCCCTCCTCCCTCCCTCCCTCACTCACTCACTCACTCACTCACTCACTCACTCCCTCACTCACTCACTCACTCACACGTGCTCACTCCCTCAGTATCTCCTCTCCCCTCACACACACTTCGTCAACTCCTGTCCCCGAGAGAAAGACAGAGAGAGTGAGAGAGAGAAAGGCAGAGAGAGTGAGAGAGAGAAAGGCAGAGAGAGTGAGAGAGACACAGAGAGAGCTTGAGAGCAGGAGCACAAGAGATTGAGAGAGGGCGAGTGAGAGAGTGAGTGAGAATCATCTTGAGAGAGAGCATGAGAAAGAGAGTGACAGAGAGAGAGAGAGAAAGAGATAGTGTGAGAGGGGAGAGACAGAGAGCGCAAGCGTAAGAGGGTGTGACCCCGAGAGCCTGTGGCTGTTCAGAGCTGCTCGAGGCAGGATTTATGCTGTGTGTTGGTTGCCCCGAGATTTCATCAGGAGCTGACACACGCTATATAAGTCTGAATTAGAATTTTGACAATTAAGGCGACTGATGTGGGGTTGTGGGTCCCGGGAGTGGGGCTGAGTGTTACATTCTACTTTAATAGCTCTGAGTTAGCTGCCTCACACAAAGCACTCTATGCCATCAGCCACTGCTACCCACCCCCCACACACACACACGCACGCGTCAGCAGCCACTGCTGCCCACCCCCCCACACACACGTGTCAGCAGCACTGCTCCACAGCACGCAGGTTAGTTATAAAATTACACCAATTTGTTACCCTATCCCTCTCTCTCTAAACCTGCACTTCTCACTGACCTGGGAGTGTGGACACACAGTGTAGAGGAGCGTTACTGTCTCTAACCCTGACCTGGGAGTGTGGACACACAGTGTAGAGGAGCTTTACTGTGTCTCTAACCCTGACCTGGGAGTGTGGACACACAGTGTAGAGGAGCGTTACTGTCTCTAACCCTGACCTGGGAGTGTGGACACACAGTGTAGAGGAGCTTTACTGTGTCTCTAACCCTGACCTGGGAGTGTGGACGCACAGGCGGATGGTGTGGAGAGAGTGTGATTGGATGGACAGGGTGGTGGCCAGGATGACTGTTGTGTGCTCTGAGTCGCTGCCCCGCGTGAGAGTGCTGTATAAATGCAAGTTGTTGTTGTTTTAGGGTCTGACCATTGAGAAGTTGGGGAGACGACCTCTGCTGATCGGAGGATTCAGTTTCATGGGGCTGTGCTCTGCCGGCATCACTGTCTCCCTGCTCTTCCAGGTAACCAGCGGCTCCGTGTCAGACCCTCTCCGTGTCCCCATCACACGCTGTCCGTGTCCCCATCACACGCTGTCCGTGTCCCCGTTACACGCTGTCCGTGTCTCCGTCACACGCTATCCGTGTCACACATTCTCTGTGCCTGGTGCTCAGCCTCTCTGCCCCCACCCTCTGGAACTCCATCCCTTCGCCTCGCCCCCTCATTTGCCTCCTTGAAGGCACGTCTCAAGTCCCTCCTCTTCGACTGTGCCTTCGGCCTCCCTCGTAACCCCACCCTCCCTGCCCTCCACCCCTCCTGATCCCAACCCTTAGCTCCGGTCCAAATCCCTGACTGTCCAGCGCCTTGGGACATCCTCCTGAGGTGAAAGGCGCCATGTAAATGCACTTTGTTGTTGTTGCCCGGTGTGTGTCAGTCAACTAACAGCTGCTCTCTCTCTCTCTCTCGTGGTGATAGGCACCGTGGATCCGCTATGCCAGTGTGGCCTGTGTAGTCGGCATCATCGCTGGATTCTGCATTGGCCCAGGTACAGACTCCGCCCACGCGCTGGTTATAATAATAATCCTTGCATTTGATACAGAGCCTTATCACATCTTCAGGACTTCTCAAAGCACTTCACAGAACATAATGTAAAGTTGGGTGACTGTATATTTTGTGGACAAAATACGGCAGCCAATTGCACACAGCAGCGTCCCACAAACAGTCGGGGATTGAGTGATCGCATTTTTTTGAAGGGATTTTTACTCCTGGAAAGTGATCTGCCAATCAACTAACAACCGGGTTCCTACTGACTGGTAAACAGGCGTGTGGAGTAAGGAATCCTACCTAAGATTTCGCCCCAACCCCACTGGAATTGAACCCTGATCCTCTTGCTTGTAAGGCGAGTGCTCTAACCACTAAGCTGAGGGACTGAGTGTGACTTGCTCCCACTCCCCTCTCCCTCCCGCCCCCCAGGCCTCAGTTTAACATCTCATCCGGGGCAGGGCATCTCTGAGAATACTCCGCCCACCCCCCGCACGGCACTAACTGGAGAGTAACTGACTGGAGTCGTGACTCTGTATTAGTGTTGATCTCCAATGCCAGTGTGCCTGAGTTGGTGTCACGGGGTGGGGGGGGTGGGGGGAGATGGAGGTGATGATAAATCCGTGTTTGGCGTTTAGTTGGCTGATGGATCGCTGTTCTCCGGGGGAATGCATTCCATTTCAGCGCCGAGCGCGCTCAGTGTAATTACATCTTCAATTAGTATCTTCACGGATCATTCTTCATGAACAGTGATGAAGACTTGCCTCTTGTTAATGAACGCCGGCTCTGTCTCCGAGCCGGGCCAGGCTGATCACATTAACCCCCTCATTGCCCATTATGCAAAAATAATGCAAATCGGAATCAGTTGTGGCTGAAGTGGTCGCTGGCTCCATCACTGGCTCAGCACTGCTGATGGCAGCACAGCCCGGCCTGGCTCATTGGCTGGACCTGGAAGGGCTGAGTAGTCACTGGGGGCAGGGAATCCTCCCACTCAACTCCTGTTAACCCTGCAGCCAAAGCCCTGATGCGTAGCGTGGTCCTAGCTGGACAAGCAGCGGGAAAGCTTGCTGGACAGCGATACCAATGGCCAAGCTATGTGTGGTTTTAGCTGGTTAGACTCCAGCAGTTACCCTAACGCACATTCTGGGGTCCCCAAACCTTGGCTCTTGCCAACCTGCAACGAATGCTTTTTGAAATTAAGTCAGCAGGATGTGTCCGTCCAGGGAGAGAGCGTATTCCACTCCAACAATCTATCTCTGGGATTTCCATGTGTTGGTGGGATGCATGGAATTCTCAGCTTGGTTTGGAGCAGGGTGATGGATATCCGCACGTGTCAGACACCTGGCTGCAACTAGCAAGCAACTAGGAAGGCTAATGGCATGTTGGCATTCGTTGCAAAAGGGTTAGAGTACAAGAGTAGGGAAGTCTTGCTGCAGTTGTATAAGGCCTTAGTGAGACCGCACCTAGAATATAGTGTGCAGTTTTGATCCCCTCATTTAAGAAAGGACATTCTCGCCTTAGAGGGAGTGCAGCGTAGATTCACTAGGTTGGTTCCTGGGATGAGGGAGTTGACCTATGAGATTAGGTTGAGTAAACTTGGCCTATATTCTCCAGAATATAGCAGAATTAGAGGTGATCTTATAGAAACGTATAAGATTCTTAAGGGTCTTGACAGGGTAGATGCCATGAGACTGTTTCCCCGGTTGGAAGATCTAAAACTAGGGGTCATAGTCTCAAGATTAAGGGTCAGCCTTTTCAAACTGAGTTGAGGAAACATTTCCATACAGAGCCTAATAATAATCCCTTCAAAAGAAAACAATAATAAATTGGTCATTTTCAATCCGCGACTGTTTGTGGGGCACTGCTGTGCGCAATTGGCTGCCGCGTTCGCCCACAAATATACGGTCAATTCACTTTACAGCAATTCTGTGAAGCGCTTTGAGATGTCTAGAAGACGTGAAAAGTGCTATATCAAATGCAAAGATTATTATTATTATTTCTTCACTCAGAAGGTAGTGAATTTGTGGAATTCTCTACCCCAGAGGCTGTGGATGCTCAGTCCTTGAACATATTCAAGACTGAGGTTGATAGATATCTAAAGGATAGAGGGATTAAGAGATATGGGGATAGGGCGGGTAAATGGAGTTAGGTTAGAAGATCAGCCATAATCATATTAAATGTCGGGGCAGGCTCGAGGGGCGGAATGGCCTACTCCAGCTCCTACGTCTTATGGTCTTATGATCTTATAGTCAAGCCAGGATGTTATGAATGCGTGTAAGGGAGTCTTGGTGGCCTGCAATGTTGCGGAGGTGGGGGAAGACTGAGCGGGTCATGGCACGGATGTCGGGTAGAAAGGATAGTTGAGGGTCAAAGAAGACGCCAAGGTCCCAGACTGGGTTAGTAAAGTGGACTGTGCATCTTTGGATGGTGATGCTGTCAGCGTCTGAGGTGTAGAGGCACTGTCAATCAGGAGGGCAAATAGATATACGTTTGATAGACAGGTATGTGGCATTGTATGTGTCACTGTGCACATCACTGTACAGAACTGTACATAGCGCTGTATATGTTGTGTTGTATGTGTATATGAGACGCTGTGTATGTGTATGTGAGACCCTGTGTGTCTGCATGTGCGACCCTGTGTGTCTGTATGTGAGACGCTGTGTGTGTGTGTGACGCTCTGTGTGTATGAGATGCTCTGTGTGTGTGTGTCAGATGCTTTGTGTGTCTGACGCTCTGTGTGTGTGTGTGATGCTGTGTGTGTGTGATGCTGTGTGTGTGAGTGTGACGCTGTGTGTGTGTGTGTGTGTGTGTGTGACGCCATGTGTGTGTGTGTGACGCTGTGTGTGTGTCAGACGCTCTGTGTGTGTGTGTGGTGTGTGTGTGTGAGAGACGCTCTGTGTGTGTGTGACACTGTATGTGTCTGTGTTTGTGTGTGACGCTGTGTGTGTGTGATGTTGTGTGTGACGCTGTGTCTGTGGGTGAGACGCTGTGTGTGTGTCTGTGTGTGTGTGTGAGACGCTGTGTGTGTGTGTGTGTGTATGTCTGTGTGTGTGTGACGCTGTGTGTGTGCTATGTGTGTGTGTCAGTGTCTGAGTGTGTGTGTCAGTGTCTGAGTGTGTGTGTCAGTGTGTGAGTGTGTATGTCAGTGTGTGTGTGTGTGTGTGACGCTGTGTGTGTGTGTGACGCTGTGTGTGTGTGTGGTGACGCTGTGTGTGTGTGTGAGACGCTGTGTGTGTGTGTGTGAGACACTGTGTGTGTGTAACGCGGTGTGTGTGTGACGCTGTGTGTGTGTGTGACGCTGTGTGTGTGACGCTGTGTGTGTGTGACGCTGTGTGTGTGTGAGAGACGCTCTGTGTGTGTGTGTGTGTCAGTGTGTGTGTGTCTGTGTGTGTGTCAGTGTGTGTGTGTGTGTCAGTGTGTGTGTGTGTCAGTGTGTGTGTCAGTGTGTGTGTGTGTGTGTCAGTGTGTGTGTGTGTGTGTGTCAGTGTGTGCGTGTGTGTGTCAGTGTGTGTGTGTATGCCAGTGTGTGTGTGTGTGTCAGTGTGTGTGTGTCAGTGTGTGTATGTATGTCAGTGTGTGTGTGTATGTCTGTGTGTGTGTGTCAGTGTGTGTGTGTATGTCAGTGTGTGTGTGTCAGTGTGTGTGTGTATGTCAGTGTGTGTGTGTCAGTGTGTGTGTGTATGTCAGTGTGTGTGTGTGTCAGTGTGTGTGTGTGTCAGTGTGTGTGTGTATGTCAGTGTGTGTGTATGTCAGTGTGTGTGTGTCAGTGTGTGTGTGTGTCAGTGTGTGTGTGTGTCAGTGTGTGTGTGTGTGTGTGTATGTCAGTGTGTGTGTGTGTATGTGTCGCCCCCGTGTGGCTGTGTGAGCCGTTGCAGGCCCTCTCCGCTGTGTGATGGGGTCCTGGTGGCTGTGGCCCTCTCCCCCTGTGGGTCAGTACCTCACAGGCAGAGCAGCACCGCTCCCCCCACAGTGCCGCTCACTGCCATCACCGCCTGTACCGCTCCAGAAAACCACACACTCAGCGCCGGGAATTCAGGGCCAATAATAATAATAATGATCCTGACATTGGTTACAGCGCCTCAACACGTCTTTGAGACGTCTCAAAGAGCTTCACAGAAAACACTGTAAAGTGTAGTGACTGTGTGTTTTGTGGGTGAAATGTGGCAGCCAATTGCACACAGCAGTGTTCCACAAACAGTCCTGGATTGAGTGACCAAATGATTAATTTTTTTGAAGGGATTATTATCCCCGGAAAGCGATCCACCAGTTGACTGACGCCCGGGTTCCCCCTCACTGTTGGGTAAACAGAGGTGTGTGGAGTAGGGACACTTGCCCCGGGTGTGGCCGTCCCGGGAACCAAACCCGGCCCTCTGGCCTTGGAGGTGAGAGCTCTAACCACTGAGCTACAGGACTCCACTGTCTGACTTTCTGGACTTCAATGAACACAAACCATCACATTTACCGGTTTGGGGTCAGTTCCCCAGCGCTGGGGGGAGGCCTCCCCACACCAACTCAGGCACTGGGTATGGTACCAACTCAGTGAGGTTCATCGGGTGTCAGACTGTGTGTGTGTGTATGTATGTAAGAGTGTGTGTGTGTGGGGGACTGTGTGTGTGTAGGAATGTGTATTGTGGAGTCCTGCAGTTCAGTGGTTAGAGCACTCGCTTTGCGAGCGAGAGACCTGGGTTCAATCCCCGGGGGGTCAGGGCCAAACCTCGGGCAAGTTTCCTCACTCCACACAGAGCCTAATAATAGTCCCTCCAAAACCAAAAACAATAATAAATTGGTCATTTTCAATCTACGACTGTTTGTGGGACATTGCTGTGCGCAATTGACTGCCGCGTTCGCCCACAAATATACAGTCAATTCACTTTACAGTGTGTTCTGTGAAGCGCTTTGGGACGTCCTCCCGACGTGAAAAGCGCTATATCAAATGCAAGGATTATTATTATTATTATTATTCTGTGTGTGAGACTATATAGAGTGTGAGAGACTGGTAGAGTGTATATGTGTGTGAGAGACTGCAGGGTGTGTGTGTGTGTGTGAGGGTGTGTGTGTGTGTGAGGGTGTGTGTGTGTGTGAGGGTGTGTGTGTGTGTGAGGGTGTGTGTGTGTGTGAGGGTGTGTGTGTGTGTGAGGGTGTGTGTGTGTGAGGGGGTGTGTGTGTGTGTGAGGGTGTGTGTGTGTGTGAGGGTGTGTGTGAGTGTGTGTGAGGGTGTGTGTGTGAGGGTGTGTGTGAGGGTGTGTGAGGGGGAGTGTGAGGGGGGGTGTGAGGGTGTGTGTGAGGGTGTGTGTCTCACTGCTGTACTGCCTGTGTTTAGCGGGAGTGCCTTTCCTGATGACCGCAGAGCTGTTTAAGCAGTCGCACCGTCCGGCCGCCTACATCGTGGGAGGTTCCCTCAACTGGCTCTCCAACTTCACCGTGGGCTTCCTCTTCCCCTTCCTGCAGGTGACAAGTCTCCCCCCCCCCACCACCCCCACCCCCGCCAGTAACCCCCCCCCACCCCCCGCCAGTAACCCCCCCCACCCCCGCCAATAACCCCCCCCACCCCCCACCCCGCCAGTAACCCCCCCCACCCCCCGCCAGTAACCCCCCCACCCCCACCCCCGCCAATAACCCCCCCCACCCCCCCCACCCCGCCAGTAACCCCCCCCACCCCCGCCAGTAACCCCCCCCACCCCGCCAGTAACCCCCCCACCCCCCCACCCCCCACCCCCGCCAGTAACCCCCCCACCCCGCCAGTAACCCCCCCCACCCCCCACCCCCGCCAGTAACCCCCCCCACCCCGCCAGTAACCCCCCACCCCCCGCCAGTAACCCCCCCCACCCCCCGCCAGTAACCCCCCCACCCCCCGCCAGTAACCCCCCCCACCCCCCGCCAGTAACCCCCCCACCCCGCGCCAGTACCCCCCCCCCCCACCCCCGCCAGTAACCCCCCCCCCCCACCCCCCCCCGCCAGTAACCCCCCCACCCCCGCCAGACCCCCCCACCCCCGCCAGTAACCCCCCCACCCCGCCCAGTAACCCCCCACCCCGCCAGTAACCCCCCCCAACCCCCCCCACCCTCCCCCCCAGTAACCCCCCCCCGCCAGTAACCCCCCCACCCCCGCCAGTAACCCCCCCACCCCGCGCCAGTAACCCCCCCCCCCCCCCCCCCCCGCCCCCCCCACCCCCGCCCAGTAACCCCCCCACCCCGCCAGTAACCCCCCCCCCCACCCCCCGCCAGTAACCCCCCCACCCCCCCGCCAGTAACCCCCCCCACCCCCCGCCAGTAACCCCCCCCACTAACATCGCCCTCTACATTATTAGCGCTCACCCCAGCGCAGGCACAGGAGCATCACTCCGACTCTAACACCCACTCCCACTCCCTGGGAGTGCTGACGGGCAACGGGTCTCACTGCGGCCGATACAGAGATGTGTGTTTGCATATGACGCTGTGCGTATGTGTGTGTGTGACACTGTGTGTGTGCGTGTGATGCTGTGTGTATGTGAGACACTGTGTGTGACACTGTGTGTGTAACACTGTGTGCGTGTGTATGTGAGACACTGTGTGTGACACTGTGTGTGTGACACTGTGTGTGTGACACTGTGTGTGTGACACTGTGTGCGTGACACTGTGTGCGTGTGATGCTGTGTGTATGTGAGACACTGTGTGTGACACTGTGTGTGTGACACTGTGTGCGTGACACTGTGTGCGTGTGATGCTGTGTGTATGTGAGACACTGTGTGTGACACTGTGTGCTTGTGTAACACTCTTTGTGTGACGCTGTGTGTATGTGTGACGCTGTGATACTGGTGACACTGTGTGTATGACAATGTGTGTGACACTATGACACTGTGTGTGTGACTGTGTGATGCTTTGTGTGTAACTAATTGTGTGACACTGGGTGTGTGTGTGACACTATGTGTGACGCTCTGTGTGTGTGTGACACTGACGTGTGTATGACATGTGTGACGCTGGGTGTGTGTGTGACACTGTGTGTGACACTAAGTGTGATGCTGTGTGTGTGTCTGTGTGAGACACTGTGTCTGTGTGTGACACTGTGTGTGACGCTGTATGTGTGTGACACTTGTGTGTGTGACGCTGTGTGTGTGTGACACTGTGTGTGCGACATTGCGTGTGTGTGTGACACTGTGTGTGACACTGTGTGTACGACGCTGTGTGTGTGACGCTGTGTGTGTGTGTGACGCTCTGTGTTTGTGTGACGCTCTGTGTGTGTGACTCTGTGTGTGTGTGACGCTCTGTGTTTGTGTGACGCTCTGTGTGTGTGACTCTGTGTGTGTGTGACGCTCTGTGTTTGTGTGACGCTCTGCGTGTGTGACGCTGTGTGTGTGTGACGCTATGTGTGTGTGACACTGTGTGTGTGTGACGTGTGTGTGTGTGACGCTGTGTGTGACCCTGTGTGTGTGTGCGACATTGTATGTGTGTGTGACACTGTGTGTGTGATGCTGTGTGTGTGACGCTGTGTACGTGTGACACTGTGTGCGTGTGACACTGTATGCGTGTGACGCTGTGTGACGTGTGTGTGTGTGACGCCGTGTGTGACACTGTGTGTGACGCTGTGTGTGTGTGATGCTGTGTGTGTGCGACATTGTATGTGTGTGTGACACTGTGTGTGTGACACTGTGTGTATGACACTGTGTGTGACGCTGTGTGTGTGACGCTGTGTGTGTGTGACGCTGTGTGTGTGACGCTGTGTGTGTGTGAGACGCTGTGGATGTGACACTGTGTGTGTGATGCTGTGTGTGTGTGTGACGCTGTGTGTGTGTGTGTGACACTGTGTGTGACGCTGTGTGTGTGTGACACTGTATGACCCTGTGTGTGTGTGACACTGTGTATGATGCTGTGTGTGTGTGTGACACTGTGTGTGTGTGTGTGTGTGTGACACTGTGTGTGTGTGACACTGTGTGTGACGCTGTGTGTGAGTGACGCTGTGTGTGTGTGACACTGTGTATGACGCTGTGTATGATGCTGTGTGTGTGACACTGTGTATGACACTGTGTGTTTACCACTGTGTGTGTGTGTGACGCTGTGTGTGTGTGACACTGTGTGACACTGTGTGTGTGTGTGGCACTGTGTGTGTGTGACGCTGTGTGTATGATGCTGTGTGACACTGTGTGTGACGCTGTGTGTGTGTGATGCTGTGTGTGTGCGACATTGTATGTGTGTGTGACACTGTGTGTGATGGACACTGTGTGTGACGCTGTGTATGATGCTGTGTGTGTGACACTGTGTGTGTGTGACACTGTGTGTGTGACATGGTCTGACACTGTGTATGTGTGTGAGTGACGCTGTGTGTGTGTGTGACGCTGTGTGTGACGCTGTGTGTGTGTGATGCTGTGTGTGTGTGTGACACTGTGTGTGACGCTGTGTATGACGCTGTGTGTGAGTGACGCTGTGTGTGTGTGACACTGTGTGTGTGACACTGTGTGTGGCACTGTGTGTGTGTGACACTGTGTGTGTGTGTGACGCTGTGTGTATGACGCTGTGTGTGACACTGTGTGTGACGCTGTGTGTGTGTGATGCTGTGTGTGTGTGTGACGCTGTGTGTGTGTGACACTGTGGGTGTGACACTGTGTGTGTGTGACGCTGTGTTGTGTGTGTGTGTGACGCTGTGTGTGTGTGTGACACTGTGTGTGACGCTGTGTATGATGCTGTGTGTGTGACGCTGTGGGTGTGACACTGTGTGTGTGTGACTCTGTGTGTGTGTGTGACGCTGTGTGTGTGTGACGCTGTGTGTGTGACGCTGTGTGTGTGTGACACTGTGTGTGAGTGACGCTGTGTGTGTGTGACACTGTGTGTGACACTGTGTGTGTGACATGGTGTGACACTGTGTGTGTGTGTGACGCTGTGTGTGTGTGACACTGTGTGTGACACTGTGTGTATGTGTGTGTGGCACTGTGTGTGTGGCACTGTGTGTGTGTGTGTGGCACTGTGTGTGTGTGTGTGGCACTGTGTGTGTGGCACTGTGTGTGTGTGTGACCCTGTGTGTGTGTGTGTGTGTGTGTGTGTGTGGCACTGTATGTGTGTGTGTGTGTGTGTGTGTGGCTCAGTGTGACCCTGTGTGTGTGTGTGTGTGTGTGACCCTGTGTGTGTGTGTGTGTGTGTGTGTGTGGCTCAGTGTGACCCTGTGTGTGTGTGTGTGTGTGTGTGTGTGGCTCAGTGTGACCCTGTGTGTTGGCAGAGGTCCGCGGGTGCCTACTGTTATCTGGTGTTCTCGGTGATCTGTTGTCTCGTCGCCGCCTTCGCCCACTTCATCATCCCCGAGACCAGGAACAAGACCTTCATGGAGATCAGTCAGATGTTCTCGGGGAGGCCCACCGCGGAGGGACAGCCACAGGTGCGGCTCAGGACGTTTAAAGGCTATGGCACGTTGGCCAACAGCAACCCGGACTTTGACAGCTCGCAATCATACCAAGAGTGACCATGGGGAGGCGCCACTCTGACCCCTCGCGCTGACCCTGGGTTTACCCTTCACATTCATTCAAGTCCATTAAAATCTCTCATTTTCTAAATCTCTCTCTCTCTTATTTTGCGATGATTTTTAAAAGGCTTCACTTGTCACTTTTCTATTCACTCTGTTCACCCCCCCCCCCCCACCCCACACACACACTGGAGCTCTCTACTCTAACCCCATTCCCTGCTCTTTCTCTCTCTCCCCATGGTGTCTGTGCTGGGGGTCGCTCCCCCACTGGAGCTCTCTAACCCCGTTCCCTGTTCTCTCTCTCTCTCTCTCTCCTCCCATGGTGTCTGTGCTGGGGCTCGCTCCCCCACTGGAGCTCTCTAACCCCGTTCCCTGCTCTCTCTCCCCATCGTGTCTGTGCTGGGGCTCGCTCCCCCACTGGAGCTCTCTACTCTAACCCCATTCCCTGCTCTCTCTCCCATCTGTGTCTGTGCTGGGGCTCGCTCCCCCACTGGAGCTCTCTACTCTAACCCCATTCCCTGCTCTTTCTCTCTCTCCCCATGGTGTCTGTGCTGGGGGTCGCTCCCCCACTGGAGCTCTCTAACCCCGTTCCCTGCTCTCTCTCTCTCTCTCCCCATGGTGTCTGTGCTGGGGGTCGCTCCCCCACTGGAGCTCTCTAACCCCGTTCCCTGTCCGTGTTTATTTTGCTGTGTTCAGTATATTTGTGTGATTAAATCTACCGCAGGATCTTTAACCTCCACATCAACACATATAGACATAACCTTGATTTAATGTCTCATACTAAGGACAGGAGGACATCTTTCACGTCTGGAGGATGTCTCAAAGTGCTTCACTGGTCTTATTGTAAAGTGTAGTGACTGTGTTTGGTGGGCAAATGCAGCAGCCACTTTTGCACACAGCAACTTCCCCGCAAACAGCCAGGAAGCGAGTGACCAATGTTTTATTTGGGGGATTGTTGGCCAGGACACCCGGAGAGAGAAACTCCCTTCTCTTTTCCAACAGCCGCAGGATCTTTAACATCCGCCTGAACAGAAAGACGGGACCTCGGTTTAACCTCTCACCCGAAGGACAGCATCTCCCACAATACAGCGCCCCCCCCCCAGCACTGCCCTGAAGTGTGAATCCCCAACATGGGGCTCGAACCCACAACCCCTGACCCCTCTCCTCCCCCCCCACCTCTGACTGACTGCCCAGACTTACACGTGAAGAATCTTTGTGAGGGGTGGGGGGTTGTGTGTGTTTGGGTGAGGGGGTGCGATCAGTGCTAAGGTCAGGATGGGATAGGCCGTCAGAGGCATTAACACTGGGTTAGGAGATTTGTCGCTAGTTAATTTGCTGACGTGGTTGATCTCCCCCCCCCCCCCCCCCCCCCGGCAGGCCGCTCTCAGTGACTATTATACGTGCAGATGCCTTTAATGGCTGCTGCGGCCAATCTCCATTTCAAGCCTTTTTTTTGCTAAGTTAACAGTATATTTATACAGTAAATTAAAAAAATGAATCACAGGCTTTGGGCTTCCCAAACCACTCGTGTTGTCAAGCCTTGTGTTGTCTTCATTTGTATTACCTTAATTTAATGTTAATTATGTTCCTCATTTGCAAAGAACAAGCATTAGCGTCTCACCTTAGGGACCACGGAGCTAAGCTATACCTAGAGACAGACAGACAGCTCCATTAGTGAACCTCACAGCGCGCGGCGGGGGGAGTGGGGGGAGTGGGGGGAGAGCAGTAAACAGGTATATGGGAGCGAGTTAATCAGATTGTTGGGCACGGGGGCTGCTGGGTAAGCAGCAATGGCTGCGTTCTTCTCCCTGTCCCCGTCCCCCCCCCCAACAGCCCCCGAGGCACATTGTCCATCTGTGCTGTAGAGCTAAGGGGGGCTCCAGCTGAGTTCAGGATGGATAAACCTTGTCAAACCATCCCGCGTGCCTCCCCAGCACAAGGCTGACTTGACAGATTACATTACAAAGAACAACCTTTTTGGACTAAAACAAAACACCATAAATTTCAGGGAAATAGTCACAACAGGGCCAGGGGGAGGATAGGGGGCATTTGCTTCTCTCCCCCCACACACAGTCACTTCATAGTGGTATAATTTGTGAAGCGCTTTGAGATCAGCCACTGGGTCAGCCCGGCTCAGCGGTAGCGCTCTCTCTCTCTCGCTTCTGAGTCAGAAGGTTGTGGGTTCAAGCTCCACATCGGGACTTGGAAACGCACAGTCTAAACTATGCTCCAATACAGCGCTGGGGTGGGGGGTTACATCATCAGAGGTACCGTCCTTTGAATAAAGCGTTAAGCCGAGGACCGCTCTGTGCCTGTTTAGGTGGACGTTAAAGATCCTGCAGGGCTGTTGGAAAAGGGAAAGGAGTTTCTCTCTCTCTCCCGATGTCCTGGCCGACAATCCCCCAAATACAATTGCTCGCTCACTCCACAGCTATTTGCTGAGCACAAATTGGTTGCCACGTTGGTCCATAAAGCACAGGGTCACTACAGTGTCCGTGGAATCCTGGGAAACTGTGAGGGTTTTGCCGAGGTGAAGAGTTGCTGAATAGGAGGTCAGGGTGAGCACGAGGACAATCTCAGCTCCTGCCCTGACCCAGCGCTGCCCAAACCCCATCCTATAGAGGCTGCTCACACCCCACGTGACCACACTCAGCAGCTGGGTAAGTGGGACAGAGCTGATGGCTGTGTATATTTTACTGTGAATTGCTGTTCTGGAGGGAATTAAACGCTTTCAGTGGCAAAGGAACCTTTCATTCTACCCTTGATGTGATGAATCTCCCACTCTCATTCCCTCTTTTCCATCTCCTTCCTTTCTCCCTCTCTGTCCCTCCCTCCCTCTCTCTCTGTGTCACTATCCTCTCCGATTATCTCCTCTCTGTCTCTTTCAGTCACTCTCTCCCTCACACTCTCTACTCTCTCTATCATTCTCTCTGTCTCTGTCCCAATTTCTCTCTCTCTGTCTCACACACACGCACACAAAGCTGAGAAAACTCAACACCCACAAAAAAAATGTTATTTTAAAAAACACACATTTTAATTAATGACTACAGATTTCCTTCCCATAAGTGCTTTAATGTGCGTTTATTGCCGTTCCTCCCTATAGCCCTGCAAATATTCTGTTGACTGATGTCCTCTGTCCTCGCTGTTCCCTTGATGAGCCCAGCTGCCAGTCTTGCTATGATGACATTAACACAGAGAGAATGAGATGACAAATGCCAGTTATCAGTGAACAAGGCTGGTGACAAATCGGATTTAAGCTCTTGCGAAGGCCCATTACACTGTAATAAAAAAAGATGGATGAGCTCTCGGTCGGGGCCCATCTTAATGCGATTTCAGCGGTCTCAGTGGGTTCCAATTAAGCCAGAACAGAGGGAGCGAGTGAGGAAACGGCACGACAGCCTGCACTAATTGTGCCACACAGCCAACGGCACAGGCCCTCCCCTCAGCTGTTCTCTCTCTCGCTCTCGTTCTCTCTCTCGCTCGCTCACTCAGTGAGCAGTGTTGTGGCAATAAATGATCCCTCCTAATCAACCCCGGTCTGCAAAAGCAGCGAAAGCTGCTGAATAATTGATAAAATTAGCTCAGTCCCACCATCCTCTCCGTTCACTTCTCTTTATTGAGATGTCACCTGCCTCTCTCCTCCAATCGCTTCCAGTGACTTTTATTCCCTGCCACTTACTCCCCTATTTCTCCCCCCACTCTCCCCCCCCCCTTTCCCCCGGGGGAGGTGGGACACAGCAGGCCTGAGATTGGGAGCTTGGATTAGAGGAGAGAGAAGGGTGTGGGGGGCAATGAGTTCTAGGTGAAGGTGAGGAAGGATCTCTGAGTTGAACCACTGGTTGCTGGGGAGACAGAGGAGCCTGGGGGGGTGCGCTGTGAGGTCTGGGTGGGTGCGCGGTGCGGTCTGAGGGGGTGCGCGGTGGGGTCTGGGGGGGTGCGCGGTGGGGTCTGGGGGGGTGCGCGTGGGGTCTGGGGGGTCCGCGGTGGGGTCTGGGGGTGTGCAGGGGGTGCGCGGTGGGGTCTGGGGGGTGCGCGGTGGGGTCTGGGGGGTGTGCAGGGGGGTGCGCGGTGGGGTCTGGGGGGTGCGCGGTGGGGTCTGGGGGGTGTGCAGGGGGGTGCGCGGTGGGGTCTGGGGGGTGTGCGTTGGGGTTTTGGATGACCTGGGGGTTGGAGGGAGTGGGGAGTGTGAGGATCGGACCTTGGGGTGAGGTATTAGCTGGTATTATGCTATGGTATTAGCTGAGTTAGATTAGAAGATCAGCCATGGTTGAATGACCTACTCCTGCTCCTACATGTTATGTTGTGCTGTGCTATGTTACCAGAGACTGACCGGGGACCCAGGAGTCAGAGCTATGAGGAGAGGCTGAGGAGAGAGATGGCAGTGAGAGGTCTAATGGCCGGTGTCTCTGTAAGGAAAGGCCTGAACTAGGAATAGGGGTGACAGCGCGGTGTGCAATGGGGTAGGAATGAAAAGATTTCCTGGCCGCTTCAGCCATTGGCACGGACCCTCCCTTCCCCCCTCCTTCGCCAGCTAGGCTGCTGCGGAACCATCCGGAAGCTGACAGGCTCTGTGAGCATCTCTCCAGTAAGATCCCATCAGGGAGCATTAATCACACGGCCACTGACAGCCATTTACATTAACATCTTAATCCAGTTCCCTCTCCACACAGATACCCAGGGGACAGGAGATGTGGGAATCCAGGCCTGAGATCACTACCACAAGCCCAGGCCTGAGAAAACTCACTGTAACCCAGGCCTGGGATCATCGACTGACAGAAATATCCACATCCCAACACTTCTGAGTGAAAAGAATTTTCCTAACCTCTCATTTCGCTCTTATTGTGACGATCTTATATCTATGTCCACAGTCACTGAGTCCCCGATCAGTGGCAATAGCCTCTCACAAACACTAGCTTTTTAAATTCCCTTATCCTTGTGTCCACCTCTGTCAGGTTCCCCCTCAACCTTCTCTCCTGGAGTCCTGTAGTGCGAGGACTTGGGTTCGATTCCCGGGTGGGGAGAAACCTTGGGCAAGTTTCCTTACTCCACACACCTCTGTTTACCAGCAGTAAGTAGGAACCCGGTTGTTAGTCAATTAGCGGATTGCTTTTCTGGGTTAATCCTTCAAAAAAACATAATAATAATAATTTGGTCACTCGGTCCACAACTGTTTGTGGAACACTGCTGTGCGCTATTGGCTGCCGCATTTTGCCCACAAAGTATACAGTCAATTCACTTCACAGCATATTCTGAGACATCTCAAAGTGATAAGGCACTATTATCAAATGCAAGGATTATTATTATTATAAAACAGATCTGGCCTCTCCACTCTGTGCTCATAAGTAAAGTCCCTCAAATCTGGGATCATTCTATAAACCTCCTCTGCTCCCCCACTCCCCACTCCGGGGCCTTAACATCTTCCCTCTAGTGAGGTGCCGAGACCTGGACACCATACTCCAGCTGTGTCCCAACTAATGACATGTACAAACTGAGCATTATTGCTTTACTGTGTCCTCTAGGCTCCTCTGTATAAAGTATTTTCACTGCCATTTCCTCTTGAGCTGAAATTTTTAAGGATGAACAGGTTGATGATAACTAACACTGGGGAACGATGGTCTCCTGTCTGGTGCTGTACAGCTCATGTGTGTCACGGCCATATCCTGCGTACAGTACCTACCAGGTAATTATTTTGGTTGTTGTTGGTCTGCTGCATGCAGAAACCCATCACCGTTGCTTAAGAGTCTCCAAACCAAACTGAGAATTCCATGTATCCCATCTACACATGGAAATCCCAAGTGTAGGTGGGGTGCATGGAATTCTCAGTTTGGTTTGAGGATCCCAGAATGTGTGTGTTGGGGTAACTGCTGGAGTCTAACCCGCTAAAACCACACAGCTTGCCATTGAGAGCACTTTCTGGCAAACTTTCCAGCTGCTTGTCCAGCTAAGACCACCCTACCCATTGGAGCCTTGGCTGCAGAGTTACCAGGAGCTGTCCCCAGTGACTGGTCTGTCCGGGCCGGTCCTGCCGATGAGCCAGGCTGGGCTGTCCTGTCATTAACAGTGAGTGCCCTGGGATACTGTGCCCCCCCGGGTCAGGAATTGAGACTACCTACAGAGAGAGGGCTTGATTCCGACTTCCTGTTGCCAAACATGTCACCTTGGAGCCAGTTCAGCCTGAAGGAGACCTCTCTAACCTCCTCTCCCTCCAGGAGGATAGTCACAACATGAGAAGTGATTCACTCCCGTCTGCTGCTGTGTGTGTGTTGGGTTAGGGGCTGTGTGATGAGTGTGGTGACAGGAGGTCAGGGGGAGGGGATCTCTGGCTGTGGGCTGTGTTGGATGCCCCTCTCAGGCGCTGATCACATTGTCTCTAATTCCTCTCATGTTGTGATGTGTTTGAGACCATTGTTAGTGTGAGAGACACTGAGCCCAGATTGGCTGTTGTGTGTTGCCCTCTTCTGACCACTTACGGTATCACATGTTTCCAGACACGGATGGAGCTGTACAATAATAATAATAATCCTCGCATTTGATATAGCGCTTTTCACGTCTTCTCGACGTCCCAAAGCGCTTCACAGAACACAGTGTAAAGTGAATTGACTGTATATTTGTGGGCGAACGCAGCAGCCAATTGCGCACAGCAATGTCCCACAAACAGTCGTAGATTGAAAATGACCAATTTATTATTGTTTTTGGTTTTGGAGGGATTATTATTAGGCTCTGTGTGGAGTAAGGAAACTTGCCCGAGGTTTGGCTCTGACCCCCCGGGGATTGAACTCAGGTCTCTCGCTCGCAAAGCGAGTGCTCTAACCACTGAGCTACAGGACTATAAAGCTCCTTAATCCTCACTAATGTCCTTAAGAGAGCTGATCAAATAGGAGAGAGCAGGGAATGGGGTTAGAGTAGA